AGGTCCCTTACTGCCAGAGATAGCCACAGAAGTGGCAAGACAGATGTTTCTCCTTTCTCAAGTACTGAAGAGCTCCTTCCTCATCTCACAGCACCAATGGTATCCACTTGGCTTGCCCAGAACATTAAGGCCAAAAGAAAACTGGGGATGCCTTAAATGTGTTTTGGAAAAGAGGGTGAGGGCTGAGAATTGGAGAGGAAGGCTGATGGAGGATACTAGGATCCATGAGGCCATCTCGGACTCATCTTAGGAACAATTAGATCCATGAGTCAGGTCAGAACTGCTCACCCTGCTGGTGACTTGGAATCATCCTTCTAGAGCTAGCCTGATGGAACCTATTTCTGCTCCCAGATTGCTTGAAGAAATGACTGCAATTCTTCTCTCTGCCCATGTTTCTTTTTTTTTAATACCTTTATCTTATTTATCATTTTATGTGGTGCTGAGGATCAAACCCAGGGCCTCAAACATGCTAGGCAAACATTATACCGCTGAGTCAGTGCTCCAAGCCCCTCTGCCCATAATTCTTGCCAAGTGACTGCAGCTCCTCCATAAAGAGATGGGGTATGTTTCCCCATCTCCTGAATCAGAGCAGGCTTTGTGACTTGCTCTGGCTAACAGAATTCAAAATTCTCTTACAAATCTAAGCCTCGTGTACAAAACTCCCTGTATGCCTCTGCACTCTTTCTTAGAGTCCTTCCAGTCAAAGTATGAACAAGTCTGGGATGGACTAGAGACCATATAGAACAGAAAAGAACTGAGGCCATCCTAGAAGAGCCAGTTCCCAATCCACCCAGTAGTTTACAGACACATGAGTGAATTTGGCCCATGTCAGAAGACCTACCCAGACCCAAAGAACTACCCAACTGAGTCTTACCCAAAATGCCAACCCAAAAATACAAAGCTAAATAATTTAGTGGTGGTGATTTAAAATCCCTAACTAAATTGATATGTTGGTTAAGCAGCAAAGTCTCACTGATATAGTCAGGAATGGATTCTTCATTCCAGGGACATTTACTAAATACCTTATGGAGGAGTTAATAGGGATACAAAGATTAACACACATTAATGCCTGCAATTACAGTCATTTCCCTCTAACCACACTAACAGATATAAGTAACAAGGTCTACTCAAGAGAACAGGAAGGCTCATAGAGGCCACATTTGAGGTGGTTCTTAAAGGAAAAACAGTAATTTGCCAGGTAGACAGGCCAGCATGTCAGAAGTAGAAGAAACAGCATGTGAAAAAGCATAGATGCAGGAAAGAACTCAAGGAATGTTCTAGGAATGGAAAATAGTTTAGGACAGATGGAGTGTAGGGCGGAGACGGCAGATGAAGGAGCGGGAAAAACAGATGGAAGGCAAATAACGAAGGGTCTCATATTGTAAATCATGCTATTGGATTTGAATGCCTGTTGTAGGCAGTGGAGAACCACAAATCATCTTTAAGGAGGAAATGGCATGATTAAATCTGTTTTAAGGAAAGAAAGCTGATGACAAGTGGAAGATCGATTAGAGGCAAGAGTACAAATCAGGGAGACCAGTTGGGAGGCTATTACTACATCCTAAAGGGGGAATTAAAGAACCTGAACCACATGACAATGAAGAGATGTCTTTGAAAAATTTCTCAGAGACTGAAGGAGAAAAAGGCTCAGAAGCCTTGACGACCAACTAAATATGGGCTGAGAGGGTGATGAAAGTTGTGTGGGAAGATCAGGGCCAGTTCCAAGATTGCTACTTCAGAATCCTAGATTCAGGATAAACAGATTAATGAAGGCAGGAAAGCAGAAGAGCAGACTGAATAGGTACATCCATGTTTCCTATGAAGGCACTTGTGGGACATCCAGAAGGAAATGTCCAGGAGGCAGTTAAGGATACAGATCTGGACCCTGAGTTGAGAGACCGGTAGTAGAAGCAAGAGATAAGATCTAAGGGATCTAAGAACAACATGGGGGGAAAGAAAGGAAGGCAGATCAAGTGATGAAAGTGAATGTGAAGCCCACATGGTGGCACATGCCTATAATCCCAGCAACTCAGGAGGCAGAGGCAGGAGGATTATGAGTTCAAAACCAGCCTCAGCAACTTAGTGAGAGGCATCTTAGTGATCTGGGGATATGGCAAAGCACCCCTGGGTTAAATCCCCAGTAACCACCCCCTGCGCCCCCCCCCCAAAAAAAAAGTGAATACAAGATATTCAGGGAAAAGATGCAGATGGTGAGGAGAAAAAGCTAAAGAATGGCAAAATCCTAAGAGACATTCAAATTTCAGGGGGTAAAAAATGTAGCTCAAATTGGCAGCAATGGTCCTTGGAGGAAGTGTGGATATCCACACATTTTGCCACATTCTTTCCTATAGCTAAATCTTCACCACACTCTTCCCTGTGATTCCTCCTACTCAAGAAGGGCCCAGTGTATAATTGGTGACAGAAGTAGACAGTGGGGGTCACTTTAGTAATAATATCTACATCCATTGATCTTATTGAAAAAACACATTTTTTCCCAAATCCATTTTATGCCACCTGCTGTAACAAAGAATATCAAACTTCCATCTGTAGGGCACATATTTGAAATATACTTACGCAAGTTGAGCCTCTCTAATCCAAAAACTAAAATACTCCAAAATCTAAAGTTCCACACCAACCCCCATGTGATGGGTCAGAGTCAAAATATAGATGCACTAAAAATATTAGGTTCATCTTTTGTTGTTTTTTTTTGACAGTGCTTGGTGCTAGGCAAATGCTACACCACTGAGCTACATCCCCAGTTCTCATACATACATATATATATATATATATATTTTTTTTTTTTTGAGACAGGGTCACACTAAGTTGGTTAGGGTCTCCCTAATTTGCTTAGCCCTAGATCTCATTTCAAAGATAGCTTATTATGCATATGCAAACATCCCAAGCCCTGAAAAACACTTCTGGTCCCAAGCATTTCCAATAAGGGATAGTCAAACTGTAGCTAATTTATGCCATATTCCAAATAAATTGTCTTCATCTTTTTCATAACTAAAAAGGTTTGTAAAAATAACTCTGGTGACTGTAGGTCCAGCAGTCTTCCCTAGCCCCATGGTACCAGCTAGCATCCCAGGCTCAGGGACTGCAGAGGTACTAATGGGTAAAGGATGTAATCGGAATGCTCTCCTTCATACCATCCATGGAGCCCAACCTCTGTGTGGTAGGCTGAAAGTTCATCATGGCAGCTGGAATCCTCCACCTGTCACAGGTGTCTGTGGTTAATAGGCAGATGGAAAAGAGATGAGGGAGGGAAAGAAGGGGAGGGGAAGGAAAAAGGGGAGGGGGGAGAGGGGAGGAAGGAGAGGGAGGGGAGGGGAAGCAGGGAGGGGAGGGGTGGAGGGAGGGATGGAGGGAGGGGAGGAGGGAGCAAGGAGGGGAGGAGGGAGGGGTGGAGGGAGGGGATGGGGAGCAAGGAGGGGAGGAGGGAGGGGAGGGGGAGGAGGGAGGGGAGGGGGAGCAGGGAAGGGAGGGGAGGGGGAACAGGGAGGGTAGGGGGGAGCAGGGGGGATCAGGAGGGGAGGGGAGATCAGGGAGGGGAGGGGGAGCAGGGGGGATCAGGAGGGGAGGGGGAGCAGGGGGGAGGGGGAGGGGGAGGGGAAGGGGAGGGGTGGAAGGCAAAAAGATTTCCTAAATACAATAAAAGGCAATAGCCATAAAAATTGACAATTGGGCTTCATTAAAAACACCAAAAGATACTAGTAACACAGTGAAAAAACAAACCACAAACTGAGAAAATATTTGTTTTATATATATATACACACATATATATCTAACACAAAAGACTCATGCAGAATATAAAATAATTCCTACAAAGAAATAAAACAATTCACAAGTGGGCAAAAGAACAGGCACTTCACAAAAGAATATACAAATGTTTATTAAGTATATGAAGTGGCATTCAACATCATTACTCACCAGGAAATGCATATTAAACCCACAAGGACCACCTCACACCTATTAGAATGGCTACTATCAAAAAATAAAAAAAAAAAAGAAATTAACCTGGATGTTATAACATTTATACACTGCTATTCAAAATGGAAATCATGATGAGCATAGTGGCAGTCTGTATTATCAGCTACTCAAGAGGCAGAGGCAGGAGGATCCTTAAGTTCCAGGCCAGCCTGGGAAACTTAGTGAGACTCAAAATTTAAAAAACAAGAAGGGCCAGGAATGTAGTTCAGCGGCAATGCACCCTTGGGTTCAATCCCCAGTATCAAAAACTAACTAAATAAATAAGTAAAAAATAAATTTTTTAAAAAGCCCTTCTTATTTCAGTTAAGTGGGCAAATCAGTGTGATGAAAAAAAGCAGCCAGGTAGTAAGAAAAATGCTGAGATTAAAAACAGGCTGTACTGGGCATGGTGGTGAACTCCAGAGGCTCTAGTAGGATAGCAAGTTCAAGAACCATCTCAGCAACTTAGAGAGAGATCCTGTCTCAAAATAAAAAAATAAAAAGTGCTGGGGATGTAGCTCAGAGGTAAAGCCCCTTGGTTCCATCCTTGGGACCAAAAATAAATATTTTTTAAAAAGCACTGGTTGAAAAGAAGCTTCTTCATGCATCTGTATTCTGATGAGTGTGATATCAAGGCAACTTTATTAAATTATATACTTATATCGGTTCAACAAGTTGACCCCTAACAATACCCCAAACAAAATTGGTGAGAACCAATGGGCAGTTTTATATGGATCCAGGAAAAGTATTTTTTAAAAGTTATCAAACAACTGGTTAAAGGCAAAGCCACACGGTCACACTAGGTAAATGATGCTTCTCATTTAGAACAATAAAGGTAATATAATGACCATGCAATATTTTTATTTAAATACATTGTCTGAAATAGATTATACTTGTTTTCTCCTGAGATTACCTCAAAATACATTTCACTTCATATAAGTCTATAGAAATGTCAAAATATTGAGCATGAGAGCAACTACTGGAAGGCAATAATTATAAAGCCAAATAGGTGGATTAATTGTTTTACATACCTGTGGTTTTCAGATTCCTGTGCTTGCTTACTCATGTACATTCAACTCTTATTTTTCAGAAACTACTTCTGGAAGCTCCCGTTTTGGCTTCTACACTGCCACCTGTAGACATTAAAGAGAAATAAACCGTGCATTATTCATCAACAACGCATCTTTTCCAAGCGTGTAACAGGAACAATTGGGGGGAGAGGCAAAATATTTGCTCCAAAAGATGTGTTCTTTCTCCTCTGCGTGGAAATTTTTAAGGCATCCCTCTCCCTAAATGGTTTAACAAATTATTTGATTAGAAAGAGTAACATACCTAAATCCAGGGTCATCAACTATACAGCCCTCCGATCAGTTCATTAAGGAAAGAGATGGAGTCAAAGAACCCAATTTAACAGCCATTTCAAGACCTGCCGTGTAAAATTAGAAGACAACTTGCTCACTTTGTTAATCGGAGAATTAAGAATTTTGTAAATACCGCAATGAAACGATGAGAGGAGAGAGACAAGCTTACTTTATCACAAGGTTGTAAAATTTCTATTTAAAATGTTAATACAGCTGGGCGCGGCGATGCATGCCTGTAACTGTAATCCCAGAGACTCCGAAGGCTGAAAAAGAATAGTAAGTTCGAGACCAGCCTCGGCAATTTAGAGACCATCTCAAAATTTTAAAAATAAAAATAAATAAGATTGGGAATGTAGCTCAGTGGTAAAGAGCCCCGATTTCAATCCCCAGTACCTAAATAAATTTTTTAAATGAAATGAAATGGTAATACTTCTAGACTGAACTACAGCTTTGTCCAAGCAGAGTTTGGTGGGGTGTTTTCATCCTAAAGTCCTCCCTACCCGATTCGAATGCAGATAAATGCCGAAAGGTCTTCCTAACGCCCCATGGGTTTAAATACAGGTAGAGCTTTTTTCCTTTAAAAAAAAAAAAAAAAAAGAGGAAAGGAGCGGAGGAAGAAAAATCCGAGTCCAAGCGGCCATGAGGTGAAAGAGGGATTTGCGTATCAGAGGGAAAGAGAGACGGACAGACAAACACTGAAATTCTAGAGTTAATTGAGAAAAACCGCACGGCACCGCACCGCGCAGCCTTTTACCTTCCTCGAAGTCCCACGGTCTACCTAGGACAAGTGCCCCAGCTCTAGCACCTTAAGCCAAACACACAAGCACCACCCCCCACGTAGGTAAGAGCGCCAGAAGCGCCACCTAGCCAGCGGGGCCGCTACCCCACAAATCCCGGGGCTTCTTTACCGCCACCAGAGATCCAACCCACTTACCCGTAATTCACTTTAACGCCCCGAAAGCCTGTTTAGGCTAATAAAATTGCAGCAAATTCAAGAAAATCAAGTCTCCTTGAAACACTCCCCTCCTCCCTAGGACGGACATTCACACACAACACTCTCCCTTCCCTCCCAAGCCCGAACACGCGCTGGGCCATCCCAAGAGGGTCTTTGGGGACCCTCCAGTGACTAATACTGCTCCCACGTGCCTCCATTAAACCCTCGCCCAAACGTGTACAAGCGCCAAGGGCATGTGCACAGCCAACCCTCAGAGATAAGTTCGGCAGACCCATTCCGCCCCCCACCCCCGCCACCTCCACCCTGGCCCTAAAAAGCATGAGGGAGCCCAAGGGAGAAGGCACAGGCGGCAGTACACAATACTCCTGCAACTCCAAGCTTCCCCGCACACGCCCTGGCCGGTCCTGCCACCAGTCTCTCCTCCTAAGGTCCTACAATCACGCGGGCCGGGACCAGGGGGAGTCCTGATGGTTGCTGGGTGTGGATGTGAAGACGGGAGCGACCCGCACGCACCACCGAGATTGCAGGAAATGGGGGGTCGCAGTTCTCCAAAGCCGCACCGGGGTTGAGCTCCTACCAAGGGGACTGGGTGGGGGTGGGGACAGTGAGACTCTCGAGTGAATCCCAAGGGAGTGGGCTTTCCCACACCTCTTCCCCGCCTAACATGGCACGCGCGCACATTACGGGGCCGTGCACCTTTCTCCTGCCCCTGGACCTGCCCGGCCGTCGCCCACAAGCGCAGCGGCCAGAAAGGAAGGGCATCCGGCCGGCGCCGGCGGCCCGGGGAGCGGGCAAAGCGCCTTGCTTGAGGGTGCCCACCTGCGCGCAGGGTCGCAGCTGCCGCCGGTGCGCCTGCCGGTGCGCTTTCTCCCGCTGCTGGAGGTAGAGGTAGCGGTTGCGGCCGGACTCCTGGACTCCACGCGCCTCCTCGCTCCTTCCGAGCGGCGGCCCTTGTTTCCTCTTCGTCCTCGAGGGCGAGTCGCCCACCTAGCCCGCAGGTTCTGCCACCGTCCCTCAGCCCGCCTGAGCTAAAGCTATCCTCCCCGCCCCTTTCCCGCCGCCCCGCGCAACGCTGCGCTCCGCCCCCCGCCCGCCCATCCCAGTCGGGGCCCAGCCGGGGGCTGCGGGCCCCGCGCCTCGTGCCGCAGATCCGCGGTTGGAGGAGGGCAGGGGGCGGCCCTGGGATCCGCCCCGACCCCAGTGCTGCGAACCCACTAGGACTCTAGGGGCCCGCCCTCACCCCGCGGCAAAGGGTGTAGGCACCGCACGCTCCGTGCTCCTTCTTCCGGCGTCTCTTCACTCCCCGCAGGGCACCTTTTAGGGCCCCGAGGGTGCCTCGTGTCTTGGGGGGAGGGGGGGGTCTTGTGAAGCGGGGTGGAGTGAACCCAAGAAAGGAGGCGAAGAAATTACCATGTCAACTGCCAGGGGATGCAAGTTGCTGCCTGTGCCTTGTTTCTGTTACATTAACTACCTGGATGTGCTGCTGTCCTTGTTACAACCGCAGTAATATTCAGAGGCATGGATATAAGATTCCCAAGCTAATTAGTGTAAGGCTGTTGGTTTTTTTTTTTTTATTTAATTTAATGATGGCAAAAGACAACAGATTCACTCTTTTTTAAAAAGTTGCTTTGCATATATGTATTATACATATGTATATAAAGCCACATTTTTTTTTTTAATATTTATTTTTTAGTTTTCGGCGGACACAACATCTTTGTTTGTATGTGGTGCTGAGGATCGAACCCGGGCCGCACGCATGCCAGGCGAGCGCGCTACCGCTTGAGCCACATCCCCAGCCCCTAAAGCCACATTTCTAATTTAAAAAATAGCAAAATATAAATAACAGAACAGCTGTGTTTTGCAGAAACAGATCCAGTGTGTATGTGTTATTTAAACCCACTGTAATTATATTAATTGGTTCGTTTTAAAGTGTATTTTAGGTATTTCCTAAAACAGGCTCAGAATTTAGGAATTAGGAACTCCTGAGTTTTAATTTGGCTTTTTGCCTTAGTTTTAAAATGTCATTTTCAGGGCTGGGGCTGGGGCTCAGTGGCAGAGCTCTTGCCTAGCACATGTGAGGCACTGGGTTCGATCCTCAGCACCACATAAAAATGAGTATATAAAAATAAAAGCTATTGTGTGCATCTACAACTAAAAATATTTAAATATGCCAATTTCATGGAAATTACTAAATGTAATTATTTAGAAAATGGATTCTTTTTCTTCCAGGTTGGCACAGATCAGGCAAAGGATAGGTTTTTTTAAGTCAAGAAACAATAAAATTCTCATTCATTTTCTGGTTATGAACTATCTGGTGTGGTAGCCTTTTCTTTAGTGTTTTTCAGACAAACTTCCTTTCTGTTTTCTCTTACATTCTTCTTCAAAATTTTCTCCCTGAATAAAGTTATAGGTGCCAGGATTTTTTAGCCTCTACTTTCTTAGAGATAGGAAAATTCATTAATAATTCAGTATCAAAATAAACCCCAAGCTCATGATATAAAATTTTACACTGATTAATCCTATTTTTCAACTCTGCTTTTAGTAAGTTAACCTAATGCTTGAAAACTAAGAGTTTTTAAAGTTTCATCATTATAAGAATAAAATGTGTACTTTTTAATTAACATTTCAAACCAAATTAAATTCATTAAATTGACTAATGAAAAGTATATCAGTACTGTACGTGTTGTAAATGAGGACAATGGAGATGATAAACATTTCTGGAGAAGAGACTCTGAAGCAAAGAAAACAGTCTTTAGAAAAACTGATGATCCCCTTTTCAAGAGAAGGATGACAAATGCCAGTAATTATGCAAAGAATGACTGCTGCCTCTTTTCTCTTTGCTTTGGTTTTGTGGCTAGGCCTGCATTTATCTCTTTTGATCATGGTAATAAAAGTAAAGTAATTCAGCATTCTGGTGACATTACTTAGTAAATTAGCAATTTGAAAATGCTTTTATTACCTAATTAATCCAAGTAAATGCCTCTGATAAATCCGGTTTCGCTCTTACATTTTGTGTGTGTGCCTCCAGAGAAACACTTGCAAGACATAAAAACAGCTAAGGCAAGCTCAACAACAATTGCAAGCCAGATTCCTTGGGTGTATATGTGTTGCAATAGTTAATATAAGTGGCCTTTGGGTCTTAAATTATATATCAGATATTGGTTATAATTTGCTCATTGGCTGCTTCTTTAATGAGTTCCTATGTGTTTGCTTTGCCCTGTTTATTCCCCAGAAGTGTATTTTGTTTCTTTCTATCTGCCTTATTAAATTTATCTTCACTTAAACTATTTGTATTGAATTTCCAAGAATCAGACCCTAATCCATAGCTCACTTGACAATCATTTTTGTCCTTCAAATGGAGTCTCCCTTGAGGTCTTTGATAAGAATCCGGCAAGATTAAACATCCAAAATTGGAAAGAGTACTTCATCAGGCTTGGTTCTAACTAAGAGATAACAATCAGATTTCTCAAAACCAGGAGGGTGTGACCCATTTGAATAAAAAGAAGCAAGAAACAAAACAGCAAATCCTTTTGTTCAGGTCAAAACTAAGGCAACAAAATTTCAATTGAACCTCTTTCTAATCCTGAATTGTTGCTACAAGGTATGTAAAATGCACAATTCAAATAATTTTATCTGTGTTTTCTTTTCACCACTACAAATCCTTTGCTCCACTGACCAAACACCATTACATTTCACATTCCCCTTTTAGTTCCTGTGCTATTGAGAATTTTTCACTGATCTTTAAATAAGAAAGTACACTGGACACTCCCGCTGTCCCCAAGGAATCCTGTGTCACCCTCCATTGGTTTCAAAAGTTCTCTTGACATGTCTGTGACTTCGATGAAGAGAGATCTGAATATCCCATATAGACCCCTGGATAGGGAGCTCTAATGACTAGTCTGAGTTCAAAACAGTAGGGTTAAAACAAAACAAGATGTTTTTGTTCTAACAGTTTAATCCTATTGGCATCTCCCATTCTGATTCCCATCCCAGAAAAAAAAAAGTTTCATAATGTGTTAGCTTTCACCTCTTGAGAAATGTCCTCCTGCTAAGTATTTAAATAGTTTTGTGTTCATTCACTCTTTGAGATGCTCGTCTGAACATAATACAGATTTCTTTCTTTCCTCTGGTATCTGAGAATGGATTTATAGGGAGATAATGGGACAGTTCTTTTTCCATTTTCCTTTTCTTTTTTTTTTCCTCTAGGAAAAGCATGAACTCAATTTCTTTACTTTGGTTGATTAGGATTAGTGGGTAACATCTTGATTCAGATTTGCAGAATGTCAATTACTTTAATTGGTCTCCTCCTTGTGTTAAGGAAATATGTCACCATTTACCTCACAAGACAATGAGGCTAGAGACAATACCACCCATGTAATGTTCAGATTGAAATGTTGATGCTCTAAGCTAAGTTACTTTAAAATATGTGTGTGTGTTTGCATATATGTAGGTGTGTGTATGTATAATTTAAAGCTAAATATAAACCTGAATACTTGTAATAGATCCTTCAGCTACAAAACCTTTGGTAAGCTCTCTTGTGTTTTTGTTCATTTGTTTGTTTTGTTTTGCTTCAGGTATGTGGTAAACTGAAAAATAATATCTCACTATTTACCTTACTCACAATTCTGATCCCAATCTTTCCATAAATTCCCAGCATTATTAAACCATATCATTCCATGATTTTAAAAAAAAAGGGGGGGGGAGTAATCCCAGCTACTCAGAGGCTTAGACAGAAGGATTACAAGAATGAGGCCAAACTAGGCAATTTAGTGAGACCCTTCTCAAAATTAAATAAATAAATTAATTAAAGGGCTGGGGGTGTAGCTCAGTGGTAGAACACTTGCACAGCATTTGTAAGCCCCTGGGTTCAATCCCCAGGACCACAAAAATAACAATTTTTAGGGGATGGGGTTGTAGCTCAGTGGTAGAGTGCTTGCCTAGCATAAGTGAGGCACTAGGTTTGATCCTCAGCACCACATCAAAATAAATAAATAGACAGATGAATAAATAAAAGTATTGTGTCCACCTGCAACTAAAAATTTAAAAAAAACAAAACAAGTTTTTAAAAATGAAAAGAGGGGTTGGGGTGTAGCTCAGTGGTAGAGCACTTGCCTAGCATATTTAAGGCCCTAAATTCAATCCCCAGCACTGAAAAGAAACAAAATAAAAAAGAAGGAAAGGAGCAAACAAAAGCAAGAAAAAGCAGTATGATAAAATGATTATATGTGATTATATGTATGACTGGTTAGCACAACAGATAAGCACATCAGGTTAGTAAAATCATAATTTCCTCCCACTATGGACAATCTTGTTTTGTTCTGTTTCAGAGTTGGCAATTAAAGACAACCTATGGGCTGGGGCTGGGGCTCAGTGGTAGAGCACTCTCCTAGCACATGTGAGGCTCTGGATTCAATCCTCAGCACTCCATAAAAATAAATAAATAAAATAAAGGTATTGTGTCCAACTACAATTAAAAAAATAAATATTAAAACAATGTTTAAAAAAAGACAACCTATATGGTGACATATTTCCTTAATTGTGTCCCTCAAAAGGATAGGTTGAAATTCTACCCTGTGAAACCTACAAATATGACCTAATTTGGAGAGAGGGTCTATAATTAAGAGGAGTAAAATGGTCCCTTTTACTGGAGTAAAATGGTTCCTTAATCCAAGGTGTGACTTGTATCCTTACAAAAAGTGGAGATGTAGACACAGAAGGAATTTGGCCTCAGGAAGGCAGAGAGACTAGAGTTACATTGCCACAAGCCAAGGAACACCTGGTACTACCAGAAGTTAGACAAGAAAGGATTCTCCCCTAGAGGTTTCAAAAAGAATATGATCCTTCTACTACCTTGATTTTGGCCTTCTAGCCTTCAGAATTGTGAAACAATACATTTCTGTTGTTTTTGGTCACCCAGTTTGTGGTACTTTGTAGCCTTAGGAAATCAATACACCAGGAAATCATCATCAACTCCTGGTGATGGCAGCCCATCATCTTCTACACCCAGTGTA